TATTAACTGACACCATAAGTGATTGAAAACACAAACTGAACAATATATGCAATAGGCTACTCAATATAGGGCTCTTTATAATTCATGATGTCATATACACGTGATCCTTCATTTAGCCTCCTTTATCCAGACCCATTGTGTGTCGTCTTGCTATTGGATAATACATTCTAGCCATTGAGAGAAAACCGAGGGTTGTCGTACTATAATTATTCCAGATAAAGTTTTAGTATAAGTAAGTAGATATTTTATTTTAATCATTTTGTATTTGTTATGGGGTTAGGTCCAAGAGTTAAAATGACCACAAACTAGTCTCTGAATACAATGTTTTCTGTAATACCTACAATTGTTTCCGTATGAATTGAAATATCAATTACCAAATACTAGTGAGAGTCTTAGATTGTCTTTGGGTTGATGAAAATGTTAACCACTGGAAAAAATATTATTTATGGAGATAAGAACACATTCTTTCCAAGTTAATATTCCAAAGTAAGGTTTGATTTTCTCTCGGCTTCCATTCTTAACCGAAAATCTTACTTAATTCTGTACGTATTCATGAAAAAATGTAATGGCCGCTTTCGTTTTGTTTTCGTTCGCGAACATAGCGTCATAACGTGTGATTTAATTTGACTTGCTGAGATTCCAAGAAAGATTTCAGGGCCTATTGTAATTGTTATAGCTATAGTCTCAAGGTAGTATGACGAATGAGGATGTGGTTTGAACACGATGATAGCCCTACAGCTGTTTGATAATTATGCAAAATACTCATACAAAATATCCCATGCACCTATAACTATTTCATTTATCTACGCAATTAGATATAAATAGAAGGGGATTTCCAGTTTAGAAGTTTAGTTTTTACATTCAGATCAGATCAGATAATTTTATTCATGTTATGATCAATACTGTAAACAAAGGTCATCGGCGACTTTTTTAGTGTTTGTAGACCTTCTGTAGTGGCAACGTTGTTATTAAATATAAATTGAAACATTTTTGCAAAGCCAGTATTTGCACATTACCAAATGTGCAAAAAGTATAAAATCGGCTCTGGATGTTTTTTGGATCGATTTTCTTCGGAATTTCATATTTGGAATCTACATGTAATATATGATATGATAGCAGTTACAAAAAAATCTAAATTTGAAAATTTGTCGCCACTTTATGGCGTTTTCCTGAATTACTAAATCTGAAAGCAATTTTGTTTTGAAAAAAGTGTTTATAGGCTGTTTGGGCTGAAAATTGTCTTCAGAATTGTCCCAGCACCAGACATTTCAGCCCAAGAAAATATTACTTGAAATGGCTGATAAATGCTAAGAGAAAGAGTCATTTTAGTTTTTACCACAGAAATTACAAGTGGCTTTATTTATCATTTAAACTATAAGGTTGGTTTATAGGAGCACCTTCACTATCCATGCATACCTTAGTTTCAGAGACAGGAACATAATCAGTAATAGTGTTCACAGCTCATCGTCGAAAATTGAGCCTTCAAATCTATGTGTATCCATAATTATTCACGTTTGAAAGTCAAAAATTCGACTGGAATTTTAGCGAGACTTTGTCATATATAGAAAACACATGATTATATAGGAATAGACAGTGACATTTCTTGTTTGAGGTATATTTGAAGCGATTTTCGTGCGTATTAGTACTTCTTAAGACTATTAAAGCACAATAAAGACCCAAATCAATCCCCGAAAATACCGACTGTTCCCCTTTAATTTTCCTCGTGTAACCTCATGGAAATTTTTCAAAATACCCATTCCAATGTCCTCCACAAAACATTTATATGGACAGATTGTTAAAGGTTAAATATTTTTTCTCATTTGAAGGCCAGACAATATCAACTCTTCAAAATCAATAATGAATGTACCAGGTAAGACTATTAGACATCAAGACTGGAATTATTATGGCTTAATATTTACAGACTTTCTGTCGGGGGTTTTGATTGGCTGTTTAACCTTTACGCCCAATTCTGTCCTTCAGTTTCTCTTTGTTGAAGAAAGCTGTAAACTCTCTCGGCTGTTGCAGAGTTCCGCGCACAGTAATCCTTTAGACTGTCATGAGGAGTTGGGTGTAGCAACGGTAGTACATGTATATTATCAATATTCTACTGGATATAATGGTACCGTTGCTCAAGGAACATGGGTGAGGGGTGGTCATTCTAGTTTTTGTTTTAAATGAAAAACTCTGAATTTCTAAATCTGGAAGCAATTTTGTTTTGAAAAAAGTGTTTATGGGCTGTTTCGACTCAAAAGTGTCTTCAGAATTGTCACAGCACCAGACATTTTAAGCACGAGAAAATATCGCTTAAAATGGCTGATAAATATCATGAGAAAGAATCATTTTAATACGCCCACATAAAATGGGGGGGGGGGGGGGGCGTATATTGGCGTCACCCATGTCCGTTGGTCCGTCGGTCCGTCCACAATTGTTCGTAAACACTCTAGAAGACACTATTCTTCACAGATTTTGTTTGTTTTCACGCAAGGATGAACCCTATCGAAAATCAGAAGAATCGAAGAATATTTAGTATGAGTTATTACCTGAGTTCTTGAAAACGCGTTCAATTTTTAGCTCGTAAACATTCTTGGCGGATGTTGACGAAACTCGGTTTGAGTGTTAGTAATCAGTTATTACTTATCACCTATGGATAAACCCTGTTAAAAATCAGTAGAATCGAAAATCAAAGTATGAGTTATTGACCTCGTCCTTGAATCGCTTTTGCTCGTAAACACTTAATGGCACGAATGATTATCGCCGGATTTTGAGATTGTTCTGTATCACACCAAAAAAGTTCAAAAGAAATGTATGACTGAAGATTTAATATTTCATACCGGAGATTTTTACTATATACTGTCAAATATTCAAAATCAAAGCTGCCAGTGGGCGTATATTACCTTGCCTGACAAGCTATCTGATATATTTGCAGCACTAGAATTGGAAGAGTATCGAATAGACAGATTTCCAAGAGGTAAGATAATCCGTATTAAAGGATTGTAAAAAAAAATTCTTGTGTGTATTGTTGGCTTTGATTTGCGCACCATTCCAATATTCATTCAGACATCTGTGATTCTAGCAATTATAAAAACGCAGATTTTAAGTACGTAGCATGAAAATTATTTATAGTTTATATTGTTTCACACACTTTTTATACGCCCACATGGAAATGTGGACGTATATTGCCCTCGCCCCTGTCCGTCGGTCCGTCAACATTTCTTGTGAACACAATAGAGACTACAGTTTTCAACTGATTTTGATGAAATTTAGTGTGATTATTTATATTGATGAGATCTTGGTCAAGTTCTAATTTGACGATCTTTCGATGAACGGTTTTTGAGTTATTGCCCTTGACTTAGGAAAAACACGTTAAAATTTGTTTGTGAACACAATAGAGACTACAGTTTTCAACTGATTTTAATGAAACATGGTGTGATCTTGTATATTGATGAGATAATTTGATGTATTTGGGTTATTGATATTGATTTTTAAAAATTTGGTGGAATTTCTCAGCAAATAACTGGCAGTAAATATATAAATCATTGAATTCAAACTATTAAAATTTCTTTATTATGACAAAATTCATACTTTAGTCACTAAAGACTGTTTTATTATTTCTGACAGCTGCCAGTGGGCGTATGTTACCTTGCCTGGCAAGCTATCTTTCTCTCACATGAAAGTTGTAACATTGAAATATATACTTTGAAATTCATCATCTATTTCTCCATTCTCCAAACTGTATACCCATTTTTTTTGAATTCCCAATTCTGACTTTTAAAAGTTGATATTGAATCCATTTTTATGTGTTGTTTATTGTCATGAGCCAGTTATTTGTTATGTAAATATTGGTTTTGCAATCTTGTGGATATAATTTGTTTCAATCTTCGTGACAAGAACAATTTTCTATAGTTTTGAGAATTCATATCAGGGCATTATATGAACCCATAGAGGCATTTGGCAATCCTCTACAGTTTCTGTTTAGTTGAATTTGTCAAATAATAGTAAAATATTGCGACCTGAATATAGTCCATAGCTTTACAGCCCTCATCTGGAACTTACTTATTCAATGGTATATTCTGACTTTGTTTACACAAGCTTGTGGACCTGCACGAAGTTTTAACTACAAGAGTCTTGTGATCACGTGATCTAGTGACAATAAACAATGGCTGCCCTTTATTACCATGGTATGTAATGTCCGTTATTTTTCCCGTCATGATGACATTGTCATTTATTTTCTGATGTTTCTAACGCTCAGCTTTTTCTTGTTAAGTAATCCCAGGCTTCAAAATTTGTCTTTCAAGCTAGTGTTATTCTTAAATTGCCAAATATTTCGATCTTATATTTTGATGATATTTTTGTTTTATTTCCAGGAATATGTGTTATTTTTAACATTGAGAATTTTAGAAATTCTCGTATGAATCTACCAGGGTCATCTAAAGATAGAGGTGAGAACAATTTCTTTATTTATTGACTTATAAAAAATGAAATGAAAGGAGTTACTTTTTTGCATCTAAGTGGTTAATGAGGACAGAAACGCAGGGAAATGTTGCCAGGACATCCGATTTGGCATTAGTCTGCTCTTTTTAGAATGCTGTCGAGGAATCTTTAACATGCACAACCTGTAGCTCACAGGACCTCTGTTTATTGTCCAACTTGAATGCCGAAATCATTTTTCCATATCAGTCCCTCCGACCTACACCTACAAGAGGAAACCGGATAAGATTTTTTTTAGAGATTTATAAAGGCTTTTCTTTGATCGCAAACGCTCATAGAGGCAAATCTACAGGCGTCTTGAACAATGTTTCAATGATTTTTTTTTTGATTTTTATTATAACGATAATGGAAGCAGACGTCTTTTGACTATTTTTGGTTCACTTTCTTTTTATCTGAATGTTCCCAAGGCCTCGAAATAAACAAAAGTGTACGAAGTATCAAAAAGCTTGGGAAATAGAGATTTACCTTATAGATCTTTCATAAATTTGATTACAGATGCTGCTGAAGGTACCTTTAAAAATCTTGGATTCATTGTGAAGTTACACAATAATTTAAAAGGTGACGAAATTATTCAGGAGATGAAGAGCTATGCACGAGAAGATCACCGCCAATATGATTGTTTTGTATGTGTAATTACGTCACATGGTATAAGGGACGAAATCCTTGGATCAGATGGTGTATCAGTACCAATTAGAAGTCTAACAGACCCCTTTAAAGCTATTCCTTGCCCAGACCTGTGTGGTAAACCGAAGCTGTTTTTTATTGATGCTTGTCAGGGTCACGAACGACAACAAGGTGAGTGTAATATCATAGACAAGAGCTGCAAACATATCTCCTACTGTTCTGTATTTTAGTGGATTAATGAAAATGAACAACACCTTGCTTCAATTTGTTTTCACCACTTCAATGTCAACTCTATTAAAATTTTCAATTGCTCATTGCTTACTTCTTAGGAGCCTTTGAACGAACCCGTTCGCAATCTGTTTGGCCAATCGTACCTTAGTCTTAGAAATAAAAGATTTTCAGCTGAGCGAATCAGTAAAAGCGTACAGAGTACGGTTGAGATTTTAGGCTTCAATTCCATGTTTGAAAGATAATATGACGACTCGTCTTCTCTTGAGACTATTCCATGATATAAAGATATATAATGTGAAATTTATAATTAGTTATATTTTTATGGATTACCGGTATACATATTTCACAAGGAACTAGTACTTCTGGAGACTATTTACATATTCATATTCAAGACCCAAATCAACCCAAGAAAACGCTGACTGTTCACACCTACGGTGTGCTAGAGTACCTATATTGTCGTGCTTTTAATAGGGTTGTATCAATGACACCTATTTGACAATAAAGTTATCATTTTCCTTAGGTTCAAAGTGATTCAGTAGCTTTTGGAAAAGCCTCCCCTGTTGACCCTGTTGTGGAAGTTATTCCCAACGAAGCTGACTTCCTGATGGCATATGCAACAGTTCCAGGATTTGTATCATATCTTGATAATAGAACTGGATCATTTTTCATACAAACATTGTGTAAAGCTTTAGAGGAATATGCTGAACGGTAAGTGGTTTCTCTTTTCTTTTTATCTCTTTTAAAGGGACAGTTGCGAATTATGCAATTTTCGTACATTTCTAGTAGCCTTCTTCTGAAGACTATTGACATATATTGTATATACCTGTCCCTTTAATGGGACTTATACTTGGTACTTCAAAGTATGCAATTGGATCCGTAACTGTTAACACAAACCAAACAATCATATCAAGGAATTGACTGACAACTAGCAAGACTGATTGTTCAGTCGATATATTGTGATTCTGCAAGATTCCATTGCTTCATGTAGTCGTTGATAATCCAGTTGCTCCAAGATTCTGCTAGTAGAACCACCAAACAATTCCGAAAGTGTACAATGACTGTCAAGAAACAAGCATGTTAGTAAGAAAAGTAAGAGCAGTCTATTTCGTATCTGGGTAGAATGATTGATAATTAGATTTAAACTGGCCAGAATTTTAAACTTCTACAAAAATCACCTGACACGCACTTGTGTCTGTTTTAAACTGCCATTAAATGTCATGAAATATCGTAGTAAACTTGTTAGATTGGTTTATATTTTTGTTTTATTTCAGATTGGATATACTTCATATTTTAACTATGGTGGACAATGCAGTTAGTAAACGCAATATAACCATTGATGACTCTAAATGTAAACAATCACCTGGGCCTTTATTCACGCTACGAAAACTGCTATTCTTAAAGCCCCCCAAATAAGAATATCTTTACTGTATAATTATTTAAAAACTATTAATGTTAATTTCGGGGGTTGATTTCCCTATTTCTATCATTGTCTTTTATATATATGATAGAAATTAGGAATTTAAGGTTGTAATATTGCGTTTAGGCAATGTTACGAAAGCACAGGCACAGGCATGTAGGCGTAACCTGTAGTGATAGAGCAATGTTTGTGAAGTTAGTTTAAAAGAATGATATAGAATATTTGAAATGCAAATTCATTATCTTCCGAATCTGAAATACATAAGAAGAATACTGGTTCCAACAGGAACATTAATAACCATGGAAATCATAATAAACATTTTCACTGGTGAAACTGAGGAATTGTCCTATATTAAATGAAAAGGAAAATGCGTATTTCATATAAAAAATATATATAATTTATTAAGTGAAAATAGTATACATGTATGATTGTTTTGCGAGGAAACTCTTCAATTGTAAGTTATCATAAATAAGAAATATTAATTAAAGGAAATGTACTAAACCTATGGAAGGGGGGTGGGGGGTAATCTACCACGGACTAAGATATCATTTAGATTTTTATTACGGGTATAGGCGACAACTAAATCATTTGTAAAGACTGTTGGAAATTTTTCCTGCAATTCTTTGTAAAGACGGATAATTATTCGGGGAACTTGACCAGCTGTGTTGTTGTATTGAATAACAAAAGGTATAATTTGGAAATCAACTTGGATGTTCATTCCTAAAGGATGCATGGTTTGTAATTTGTTTATCCAATAATTTTCGCGAATGAGTCGAATTTTCTTCGTATCAATGCCAGGTTGTTCGTATATCTGTTCAATGGGAATAATTTTCAGG